TTTCATTTTTTTCCAAGGACTTTTTTTCAGAATCCAGATGGAAATTTCTAGTAGGAATGAGTATTTGTTATGGTTTGGAGCTTGGACAATATATGAGCACCACCCCTGCTCTACAAAAAAACACCCCCAAACAAAGCAACAACAACAATTAGCGGCATTTTTATTCTGTCCTGTCGGGTCGCTATGAGTCAGAATCAACTCGAAGTAACAAGCATTTTATCAAGGGGAACGATAACCTCAGTGACGCGTGCACACCTGAGAATAATCGACCATTTGAGACCACAGGGCCATGATTTAGCCAAGGACCAAATTCAGAAGGGTTAGGAAAGAAAGAGGAACGGAGACAGGAAATACAGGGAGGGAGTGGGGTAAATGGAGGGGCTCGTAGTAAAGGAGATTAAATAAAATGTATATGAATTGTTCAATGCAAACACACGATGATCTACTCTAAGTCTTCACTCAATTCACACTAGACGTTTTAATTAAAACTTGTTTCAGTAAAGCAATGAGAGTGCACGGCGATGCAAACATGGCGGGGTGACGGGGGGATGACGTCAAGGGGGTCACAGAGAAAAAGAAAGTTTGGAAACCAACTGTATCAGTAGATGTACAATTCTGCTGGATGTGATTGAATCATGGCCCTGTGGTCTCAAATGGTCGATTATTCTCAGGTGTGCACGCGTCACTGAGGTGATCGTTCCCCTTGATAAAATGCTTGTTACTTCGAGTTGATTCTGACTCATAGCGACCCGACAGGACAGAATGAAAATGCCGCCCTTTAGGTTTCTGCTCTTATCATGAGCAGGAAGCCTCATCTTTTTCCCTTGGGTTCGAACTGCTGACCCTGCAGTTAGCAGTCCAATGCCTGACCTACCACAGCACCAGGACGCTCTAGCTTTGGTGTGGTTGGAGACCGAGCCATGGAGGTGAATCCGCTCTAGATCTAAAGTATAAGCTCCGTGAGGTATGGCTATACCTTTCACATCTGGCCAATAGCATAGAGTCTGACAACCTGATCCAATGCTGAGGCTCTGTAAATGTTTACTGAGCCGGCCTCTACTTACCTCTCAGTTGTATATTCACTTAACCTCTGCCTATTGATGTTCCTCTTCCCTCAGTGTACTCAGCCATATCTGAAAACTCGGCTCGCTCTTCGTGTCCCCTGGACTCCCTTCATCATGGAACTCGGGACTGTACTGCCTCTACTCCTGCACGATCATCTCCCGGACGGGCAGGAGTCCAGGGACTGGTGTGGTGCTCTTTGCATCTCTGCTCCCTGACACAGGTACTGACAGATATTTCAAAACCCACCTCCCTGCCGCAAGCCTGTCGGACGGAATGGAGCCGCCCTGGTGGCTTTCTGAGACTGTGACGTTTTATGGGAGTAGAAAGCCACATAGTCAGAGGTGAGAAAACCTGTTTGTGGAGGCGCAAGACTTGCTGATTTAGAAGATCTCGTCCAACTCTAAGACTGTATAATTTGTGGCTCTGGGAATGACAGCGCAATTTAGCAACGGTCTCTCAGCAGATGGTCAGAACAGTTGACGTGCCGATCGAACAGTTGGCAGATGTCAAGGTAAACATTGAAGAGAGTGAGTCGGGATGAAGGTGAACCCTCCTAAGGGAGCGGGCACATTGGCAAAACTGCTTCCGAGGAGTCCGAGGCTCCGCTTTGCCCCTGCTGTGGCTCCATCTGGCCCCTCCGTGAAGGACACAGCTCCCTGGAGACAGCCCCCCAGCCCCCCACCCCCGGTGACTAAACCCATCGGCTAGAAATCAACATCATAGCCCTGTGGCCAAAAGGACTCTCTCTTTAGCATTTCACATTCACTCGCTCATTTTGTACATGAACACACCATTTAGTCATTTCTTCACTAGTTTACCTCTGTTGCGCTAGGTGTCAACCCCAGAAAAATTCCTTATCACAAATCAGGATTTGTCATCTGAAATGAAAAAACAAGCCAGGTTATAAATCCCAAGAGTCATTTTCTTCACAACGGAAACGATATTAAATAACTATTTGTCATAAGATAGAAAACTTTTTATAAAATATTTACAATAAATATTAAGCAATCTATTAAATAAATAAAGCTAATGTTGGGGGAATGGGGAGGGTTAAAAAAGTAGAACCAGAAATCTTAAACTCTAATTGAACAATCAAGCTGAAGATGATTAGGATGCAGCATGAGCATTATACACAATATCCTTGATAGCCTGGCGGATGGGGTGCCAGGGAAAGGCCACTCCGGCTGGATGCCTCAGTACAGAACTTCCAAGTGGAAAAAAAGGAAAATGGGAGGGGAACAGTGCAAACAACCCAGAGCATCTTACCGAAGGAGGTGGTTCTCTACAAAGCACACACATGCCAACGAAATAGATGGGTTGTTAAAAAGTAGGCAAGACTTAAACAGCTATTTCTCAAAAAAAAAAAAAAAGTCCATGACAGTGCTTGAAACAGTTCATGGTATGAAAGGTAATGTAATTGTTCCATGAACGCTTCGTACAAATAGCCAAAAGCACATGAAAAGACACGCAATATCATTAAGCCTTCACACTCACTGTGGCCAGAGCGACCCCATCGAGCGGCAGCCGTACTGCCCCTGTCGGCTTCCAAGACTGTAACTCTTGATGGGAGTAAAGGGTCTTGTCTTTCCCCCATGGAGCTGCTGGTGGTTTTCAACTGCTGACCTTGCAGTTAGCAGCCCAACCCGTAATCCACTGGGCCACCAGGACTCCTCATTAATGCTTAGGGAATGCACATTAAAACCTTAATGAGATGCCACATCATGCCTACTAGCGTGACTTTACCCAAGAAACATAAGAACAATGTTGTCAATGATGTGGAGAAATTGGAACCCTTGTATATTGCTGATGGGAGTGTAAAAGTGTACGAATGCTGTGGGAAACAGTTCAGCAGTGCCTCACATGTCAATATAGAACTACCACACGACCCAGCCATTCTGCTCCAAGGTACATACCCCGAAGCCCTGAAGACATGGACAGGTGCTGTGGAAAACGACGTGGCGGTTCTTTGAGGAACTGAAATCATCAGAACTACCAGACCAACCCCAGCCAGACTCAGGGACACTGCGTTCATTCTGACTCACAGCAGCCCTGTAGGACAGGATCGCACTGCCTCTGTGGATTCCTGGTACCTTTTTTTTGATAGTTATATTTTATCTTATTTTACAATCATTTTATTGGGGGCTCATACAACGCTTACCACAATCCATACATACATCCATTGTGCCAAGCACATTTGTACATTTGTTGCCCTCATCATTCTCAAAACATTTGCTTTCTACTTGAGCCCTTGGTATCAGCTCCTCATTCCCCACCCTCCCTCCCCACTTC